TGGGTGGTTGAAACTAAAGTTTGAGAAGGCCTGTTCTGTACCACTCAGTAGAATCAGATATTTTTTTTTTCCCACTTAAATGTCAACTAAAATCTCACAGGGGTCTTGATTTGCAGTATCTCTAATTATTTGTAACACATGTTCAACATATGCTGGCTATGTTTCCTCTCCTATAACAAGCCTGTTTTGTATCTGGCCTACTTTTCTACTGGTTAGTCTTACTGACTTACTGCTCTTTATATGTTCTTAATAGTAACTTTTTATTAGAACCATATATCACATAAAACCTTCAGGAAGTATACAATCTTCTGCTATCTTGATGAATAAAAGGTCTTAACTCTTTTTTTTTTTTGTTTTTTTCATGTTTAAGAACTCCTACCACACTCCAATGTCACAAAGTCTCACCTATGTTCTAATACATACTTTGCTTTGATGTTTAAGCCCATTTTCCATCTTTTGGCAAATTGTGAAGATCCAGCTGCAGCTTTTTCTACTTTTTTTTCTATCCCCATCAATTAAAAATAACAATTCACAACGAAGTGACCAATGACTTCCTTGGTTCCACCTTCTAGGACCTCACTCAGTAGCTCTAGCAGTACTGCTACTGAGTACTCCTTCCTTCAGGAAAACACGCTGGCCTTGGCTTCCAGGACGCAGCTCTGAACCACTCCACACCAGCCCTTCTCAGTTTCCTTCACAGGCCTACCTGTCCCTAAGCTATCCTTAATCGCCAGTGCTCCTCAGAGGGGTCTTCACTCCGTACCCACAGAACACTGCCTAGCACATGGTATATACCATGAAAGTATCTGAGATTACCATCTTCTCACTGCAAATGCCCTTCCTAGGCAATCGCTTCCAGTCCTTAATGCTCAAAACTTTCACTGCCAACTTAAGAAATATCTTACACACCAGGTATTGTCCAGACTTCTTCTGAGTTTCTCACCCACACATTTTTAACACCTCTTACTTATTTCGCGAACACCTTAAATTCAGCATATTCAAAACTGAACTCATGAAACTCCCAAACCTGCTTACCGAAGTGATCCAGGCATGATCAAGAAATCTGATAAAAGAAAGCAGTTCCAGGGTACTCAACATACTTCTCAATGACTCAACATATTTCTCAATGACTCTCCCCATTTATAGCACAGCATAATGACTGATGACCCTGAATCATTAACAGGAAACATTAAAACCAGAATTTACCTTATTATTTCCAGTGTACTCAACGAGAACCAAGTCGGTAAGATAGGGATATCGAAAGAAGTACAATCAATATTTGTTGAAGTGCTTGAATAGTTAAATGAATGAAAACACAATCTCTACTCTCAAGAGTTTAAAACACAGATGAAAGACACAATTACTATAAAGAAAGTTATTTATAAAATTTTTTATTTAAATACAGTATGTCAAATTAGCACAACAGTATGATTTCTCCATTTGCACATGTTTCCATTGGAAAAGCCTAGGAAAAAATTTCAGTATTAGAAGATACAACTCAGCCAGCCAGCACAGCATCCCGCCTTTTCCCCTGGATGACATCACTAAAGGAACTTATAACATGTAATTCTAGCTTTAAAAAACTGTTAACAAACCCTCTCATAAACTGAGAAGGAATGGCAGCATAAGCAACACAAATTTTGAAACCTCCAATGCAAACATTTTAATACACTGGCTTTAACCAGTACCTGAAAAAAGGTGGCAGACTAGTGGCTAAGATCCTGGCCTTGCACATGCCAGGATCCCATAGGGGCATCAGTTCTAATCCTGGTGGCCACTTCCCTTCCAGCTCCCTGCTTGTGGCCTGGGAAAGTAGTCGAGGATGGCCCAAAGCCTTGGGACCCTGCACTCATGTGACAGACCTGGAAGAGGCTCAGCTCCGACCGTGGCGGCGGCTTGGGGAGTGAAACAGTGGACAGAATATCTCTCTGTATCTGCCTTTCCAATAAGAATAAAATCTTTTCCAAAAAAGTTCTCAATACAGGCTCAATTGTGAGCTCTTAGGAGATCTGAGATTTATCTAACACTCCCAAGATGCCACATGGCACACTCACACCCCCGGCTGAGTGCCCGAGCCCTGATTCCAACTCCAGGTTCCAGTTAATGCGCAGCAGACCCTGCCGCCCATGTAGGTGAGCCGCCTAACTTCTGGCTTCCCGGCTTGAGCTCAGCCCAGCCTTAGTTGTTGGGACATATGGACGCCTTTGTTTCTTCTCTCCTTCCTCGTTTCTCATCTACTTCAAACAAAAATGATTTTTTTTTTTGATCTACCAGGTCAGTGGGAGTGTGCAGCAAATTCACCTGGAGTAAACCATGAAGATTTGCCTGATCTATTACCACATCTCTCTGTATTCTACTAGTTTGATATATGCCAGGGGTAAAGTAGGATATTTTTTAAAGATTATATTTCTTATTTTAAAGTATAAGTACCTTTAAAGGTTAGATCTATCTTTTTTCAAAAAAGGTTTGTTTTTTCAAAGTGCAAGTTATAGAGCGAGATCTTCCATCCAGTGTTTCATTCCCCAAATGATCGCAACAGCTAAAGCCAGGAACCACATCCAAGACTCCCAAAAGGATCTTAGAGACCCAAGGATTTGGGCCATCTTCTAGAGCTTTTCCCAGGTCATTAACAGGAGCTGGATAGGAAGGGGAGCAGCCAGACTTGAAGCAACATCCACAGGGATGCCAGTGTCACAGGTAGCAGCTTTACCCGCTATGCTACCCTACTGGTCCCTAGCCCTATCTTTAACCTATATTTTAGTATTCCTATGTTCAGGGCAACATGCTGCTTTCTTCTAAATCAGTAGCAAGTCAGCCTCACTGATGACTGGAGAACAAGTATCAGGAGAAAGGAGCTGAAGGCTGACTAGAAGACCAAAATGAAAGCTGCAGGCAGTCAAGGCTGGTAGATGAGACCGCACTGGACAAATCCATTCCTTAGCTGCCTGAATAAATCTCCTACCTCAGAAGCTTCATATTTGCAATGACCTTGAGAGCTGCAACTTCCCTCTGTGGCTAGAAATGAGTCTGCTTGATAAATTGTGTATACTGCCATGCCTCACACTTAGTAGACAGTTTGTTCAGAAAGACTCACATTACTCACCCTTAGGTTATATCCTAAAAAGATTAATCTAGATTATTTCAAAAATAAATTTTAAGTAATTAAGAAATGAGGAATGGGGTAAGCATCGTGACATAGCATGTTAAGCCTCCACTTGCAGCATCAGCATCCCATACAGGCACCAGTTCAAGTCCTGGCAGCTCTAATTCTGATTCTGCTTCCAGCTAATGGGAAGGCAGCAGAGGAGGGTTGGGAGACCTGGAGGAAATCCCTGGCTTGGGACCAGTCCAGCTCCAGCTGTTGCAGCCATTTGGGGAATGAACCAGCAGGAGAAAGAGCTCTCTCTTCCTGTCTCTCCTCTCTACATAAATTTTTCAAATAAAAGTAAGTAACTTTTTCTAAAAAAATCAGGAATCTTGATTTAGAACATAGCTCTAATATTACTGGAATTTACTGGTATATTCATATTTCTGTACTTTACAACTATTGCCTTAGATAAAATATTGTTTATTTCCAGAAAATCTATAGAAAAACTAATTTCTAGATTATTCTATTTGAAATATTTTGAAAGTAAGTAAAAACACAAATCTAGTAACACTTAAAAATATGACATTATCATCACAGGAGCTCAATGCAAAATAGATGCTGAGTTTATATTCAGCTAAACTATACCTTTAATTTACAACATTAGTTTCCTGTAAAGACATTTACCTCGCTGTTATTGCATATTTACTTTAGGTTATTTATGACTGTGCATAAGTAAAATTTATATTCTTTCTAAAATTGTACTATAAAAATCATTGATGCATTTACTAATGCAAAATACTGTTAATTTTTAGTATATGTGCTGAAGCAAGCACCCTGTTCATTTTTTAAATATTTTAAGATACACTTTTTTATTTAAAAGGCAGAATTATAGGCAGAAAGGAAGAGACCAAGAAAGAGAAATCTTCCATCTGCTGGTTCATTGCCTAAATGGACATAACAACCTGGATGACACTAGACCACAGCCAGGAACCTGGACCATTATGCAAGTCTCCCGTGTGGGGGTAGGGGCCTGCACCCTAAGGCCACATTCTGCTGCTTTCCTGAGCCCATTAGCAGAGAGCTGGATGGAAAGCAGAGCAAGCAGAATTTGCACTAGCACTCAACATGGGATGCCAATTTGTATGAGGCAGTGTGATTCCCTACACCACAGCCCAGCCCTGAAAATGTTATTTCTTTTAGTAAGTAGCTCCACTATAGTTTAAATATCACTGTACTTTTTTCTCATCTCAATGTATTCTGGTTTTTACACAAAAGAACATCATCAAGATTATGAATATTAAAAGATTGTCAAGAGAAAAAATATATACAAATGATTCAAACACATCAGAAAACTGTTTAGTATGTGGCACATTCACTCCATGGTTTTCCCTGTTTTCTTACATATGTACCTGGATTATACCATAAATACTTTTGTATAGACTCATACTAATCATTTTCCACTCTGAACATTTAATGTTACACCCTTTTTTGGGTTAAAAAGCCAATTTTCTATGCTCAGGAGGTGTATGCAATTCATTATTATATAAAATGCTCAAACTTTAAAGGATTAATCCTCATTATCTTTGAGAATTATTTTGCTCAGCTGCTTAATCGACACTAGCATCTAAGAAATCGACTTGTGATTTACGTCTCTACCTAGCTGGTACTAACTGTTCCAACCTCTATAAACACTGACAGCCCAAGCACACGCACAAGGAAACACCACCCAGCTTTAAGTAGGGTTGTAGAGATATGGACAGTTAATCAACACCCTGCAAATACTCTTCTGTTTTGGCAACACTCAAAAGGCTAACTTCTAGAAAACTCAGCCTAATACATTATTCATGACTAGACAATGAATTCAACTTTCGAAGCAAATTATACAAACCTACACCACTTCATAAAGCCTTGCTATAAACTGCGAAGTAACCAAAAGTAGATGATTCACATGCTTTACAGAATATATTTTTCTTTTCAGATATGTTCATATAAAGATAGCAATCAACAATTTTAACACCGACAGGTTTGATTAGCAAGTGTTGCTCACGTAGGCATAATTATGTGGTCAATGCCCAGAGAGTGGTAACTACAATCACAACTGAACAATCTGTAAATTATATTGTGAGCTGTAAGCCCCCATCCACTGTTAAAACATGCCCTGTAATATACGGTGATTCCAAAAGAAACACAATCGCATGTGCCACCTCAATAGTTTCTCCAAACCTCCCAAGAGGAATATTTTTCTTTAACTGTTCTTCCTTCAAGTCTTTGGTCATATCCGTGTGAACAAATCCTAAAAAAAGAAATGATTATGCAGTTGAAAAGGTTACAGACTAAGATATCTGTTCCAATTAAAAATCAAAACGAATTTGTATTCCTGAGAATGTGTTATCAATAAATCTTGTGTAGGAATCACAAAGTTCTATTGACCATCATCCACTTTCACTCACTGACCATTTATAGACTACTGGCCCAAACCCAGGCAAAATGTGAGTAAATGGATACAAATATAAATAAAGCATGAATTAAATTTCATTCAAGGAATCCATAATTGATGACAGAAGAGTCACTTGCACACCCAGTAATTAGGTAAGCAAGCCTGGTATCTAGCCTTATAAAGGTAGATCCTACAAGGCACAAGACTCATGAACTTTCCTTGGGTGAGTACAGAAGAGTGAGAAGGTCAAAGGAAGAAGACAATCACAAGAACTGATGTGGCAATTTGGGAAAAGGTTAGTTCCACTTGCTGTAAGCTAGCTAACCATTAGACCAGTATTTCCAAAACATAAAAGAAAAAGCTTTATTGCCTATCAAATGATTATTCAGATACACATAGAAAATTCAAAATTTAAGAGGTTACTGTTACATATGATAAAGTTTGCAAACAACATGCTCTAAAGTTCCACAGTTTGAAAGGTGATAAAAACTAAAGGAAATTCTCAATTATTATAGATATATGCCAGGAAGAACTACATTTTTTAAAGATTTATTTGATTTGAAAGGCAGATTTGAGAGAAAAGAGAGACAAAGAGAGAGGTCTTCCATTTATTCGTTCAGTCCCCAAACACCCACAATGGCTGGAGCTGCATAAATCCAAAGCTTGAAGCCAGAAGCTGCTTCTTGATCTCCCACATTGAGTGCAGGGGCTGAAGAACTTGGACCATTTCCACTTTTTTCCCAGTCACATTAGCAGGAAGCTATACAGGAAGCAAGGCAGCTGGGAATTGAACTAGCATCCATATGGGATGCCAGTTCCACAGAGCAATGGATTATATAGGTGTCTTCAAGTCCCAGCTACTTGACTTTCCAATCCAGCTCCCTGTTAACAGCCCGAGAAAGCAGCAGAAGGCAGCCTAAGTACTTGTGCCTTGCAACCACAACTCAGAAGTTCCCAGCTTCGGATCTGCCCAGCTCCAGCCATTTCGGCCACTTGAGCAGTGAACCAGCAGATGGAATATCAATGTCTGACTCTCCCTCTTTCTCTGAGACACTGACTTTCAAATAAATACAAGCAACTCTTAAAAAAAATTTTTTTTCTAAGAAAAAGAAAATGGTGTTGGCACAGTGAGTAGAGCCGCCACTCATAATGCTTGCATCTTATATGGGTAACACCTGGTGTGCTGGCTCCTCTGCTTTCCTTCCAGCTCCCTACCAGTGGCCGTGACAAAGCAGCAGAAGATGGTCCAAGGATTTAAGCCCATGCCATGCACATGTGAAACCCCAAAGAAAACTCCCGCCTCCAACCAGGACATAGCAGCTATCTGAGAAGTTAACTAGTAGATGGAAAATCTGTCATCCTAACTCTAAATTTCAAGTAAATAAGCACATCTTTAAAAAGAAAAGCAAATGTTGATTGCACAAAATAATTAGGGAAAAAATTAGTCCAAGGGACAAACATTTGCATAATAGTTTAGATGTCATGCAGAAGAGCCGCGTCTTGTCTCAGAGTGCTGTGTTCAAACCCCTGATGTGCACTGTATCCCAGCTTAACACACACCTGGGATGGAGTAGGGAATACAGCAAGCAGTTGGATCACCACCACCTACTGTAAGACTCACACTGAGTTCCTACATCTTGGTTTCTGCCTGGTCCAGCCCCAGCCCTTATGGGCATCTGGGAAATAAATGATCAGATGAGAGATTTCTGTTTGCATGTTTCTTGGTGTGTTTCTCTGCCCTTCAAATAAGTAAGTGAAAATCTTAAAAAGTGTAAGGTCACGGGCCCGGCGCGGTGGCGCAAGTGGTTAAAGGTCCTCGCCTTGCACGCCCGGGATCCCATATGGGCGCCGGTTCTAATCCCGGCAGCCCCGCTTCCCTTCCAGCTCCCTGCCTGTGGCCTGGGAAAGCAGTGGAGGACGGCCCAAAGCTTTGGGAACCTGCACCCACGTGGGAGACCCAGAAGAGGCTCCTGGCTTCGGATCGGCATAGTATCGGCCCGTTGCGCTCACTTGGGGAGTGAATCATCAGACGGAAGATCTTCCTCTCTGTCTCTCCTCTCTGTATATCCGCCTTTCCAATGAAAAAATAATAAAAATAAATCTTTAAAAAAAAAAAAAAGTGTAAGGTCACAAAAAGCATATGAACTAAAAAGTTATAAATGATACATAAAGTAAAAGCTTATGTGTGATCTCAAAAATAATTTTCAAATTGGTTTATATTAAAATTCAATAATTTATAACTTCAATTAGAAATCAACCTAAATGTTCCTTCATTTAAAGTACAATGACAAATACGAACTTCACATTGAATAAAGAATTAATGTTAAAGCACGAGCATAGGAATTAAAAACACCCCACTTTAGAGTGTTGAAGCTCCAGCCCCAGCTTCACTCCTCACTCCAGCTACCCTTACGTGCACCCCAGGAAGCAGCACCTGATGGCTCCAGTGCCTAGGTACCTGCTACCCAAGTGGGAGACATGGATTCAATTTCTGGCTTTATCCTCGCTCACTCCTGGCTGGGGCAGGTACCTGAGGTGGAACAATTTAACTTTTCTTCATTTTAGGTTTTCCAATTGTTTTAATTTTGATTTTTAGGTTTTCAAACTTATAAATATCTAAAAAGCTTTCTTAAAAGTCGAATTAAAATTATCAGGTTTTTCTATAACAGTTAGTTTCATTAGAGAAAAGCTGGCAGTAAGCTGAAAGTCTTTCAATAAACAATACATTAAGCAGGTCAAGACAAATTCACAAAACATGCAGATATTTTAAAAGATGCTATTAAAGATGTTATATTTAAATCAATGAAAAATGTCACATAGATAGCCATTAATTCATTTATATCATTACTAAAAATAACTGAAAAAATATCTGCCAAAGTATTAACAATATTACAGACAGGATTATAGGTGATCTGGTAAATAGAACTACAAGTGATACTGTCTTCATGCTTTCACGCTGTTTCTAAATGCTTACAACAGACATACATTATTATTTTTTGTACTGATTACATTTTGTTTTGTTACACAGTTTCATAGGCTCTGGGATTCCCCTAACCTCTCCCGGTGCCCTCCCCCCATGGTGGATTCCGCCACCTTGTTGCAGTAATACAGTTCAAATCCACTCAATATTCTTTCATTGCAAGCATATGCCAAGCATAGAGTCCAGCATCTTACTGTCCAGATACATTCAACGGTTTCTTGGGGAGACCATCTCTGGTCTGAAGACTGAGCTGGCAGAATATTATCCCAACCACTTAAAAGCCCCAGCATAACATCAACAACAATTTACAACATTATGGAGTTAACTGACATGGTACTGAGTAACAATGTGTTTAAAAAAATGCAGGTTCTTAACCACATCCTGTGACTACCTTCATTGACATTTCAATTTTAGTTTATATACATCTGGCTTCTATCCACCTTAAAATGGCTATAGGATACTATTCAGCTGTCTCGTGTCTATTATCATTTTTGTATTTAGCAGTTTATACAGACATACATTATTTTTGTGTGCAGATAAGAAGTTACTGAAGAAATGCACAGTACCAACTTCAGATGGTCTGTAATGAGGATCTGGAGTAACAAAACCAGTTTTGTGTTATTTGTGTTTCACTCCGAAACTATAATGTAAAACAATCTACTATTGGAAAATATTCTTTTAAAAAAGTCATCAACATTCCCTTTCATCCTTAGAAATAATGAGATGGCCAGAAGGAATTCAAGATAAAAGGAGAAGCAGCTGACAAGAGACACTGAGACCTAGCCTCTGTAGAATTTCAAGTGAACTGTAATTCCAACTTCATTTACAGCAGACAGCCATAATCATCCGTAGGCAACTCAAACACCCCAAGACTACTCCCTCGTGACAGCCAGTTTCCTGGCTTTGCACACGCTTAACGTTCAAAGGTTCCTCAGAGAAGCCTAGAAAGAAAACTAACCTAACAGTTGTTATAAAAATTTAGATGGTTTTTAAAAATACGGTTATCTTCTCAAAGAGTTCATAACACAATCATTCTTTATTCCATCTTTAGGTATTTTTTAGGTCTGGCTAAACTGACATAAAATACTTCCCGCTAAATCCATATACTCTCAACAGAAAGGTCACAATTTAATCTAAGAAAAATATGTACACAATAAACTACCACAACCCAAAGAGTCTGCAATAAAGACCTTATGGCTATTCCAGGATCAAACTTACAACCAACTCTGATGGGTTATTCCAAAGGTCAGCATTTGGTGGCTTTAAAAAAATGAGTTGTTAACATGCATTAAACTTAATTCTACCCCCGAGTCAGGGAACACTATTAAAGCTGTGTCCTAGGGTCGGTGCAGTGACATAGCAAGCTAATCCTCAGCCTGCAGTGTGAGCATCCCACAGAGGTGCTGGTTCTAGTCCCAGCTGCTCCACTTCCAATCCAGCTTCTTGGTAATGGCCTGGGAAAGCAGCAAAGGATGGTCCACAGCCTTGGACCCATGCACGCATATGGAAGACTGGAAGAAGCTCATGGCTCCCAGCTTTAGTCTGTCCCAGCTCTGGTTCTCTGCAGCCATTTGGAGAGTGAATCAGCAAATGGAAGATTTTTCTGTCTCTCCCTCCTTCTCTAACTCTTTTAAACAAAATAAATCTTTTTAAAAATTTTTAAAAAGCTCTGCCCTAAAGAAAATTACATATTACCTAACACAGCATGGCTGTTCTGGCATCATAAAATGAATACAATACAATGAAAATGACAGATCAACAACACTAAAACCTGAAAAAGAAAACCATGGTTCAATTAAGTCATCTTCACAACTTCCTAAACTTCACTTAAAGTAAAAGTCCCTTGGTTCTTACACTGGGAGGTGTGTGGTTAAAA